AGTCGCGCTTGAGAAAATAGCGGAATCCGCCACGGGACAGCAAAATAGTAAACGAATAACAATTACTCACCCCACGGTTGCTCCGCCGTCGCCCAATGCCTCCCAAGGCTCCCTCCTCCTCTTCTCAATTCTCCTCCGTTTTGTCGTATCTCCATCATCGGCGCACTCGCTCACGACAGTCACGCGCGAAAAAACTATCGTTTATGATCGCGCGACACTTTGTACAACACACCCTCCGTTAGCGACGCAGCGCGTACTTTATTACATAGCAACAAAAGAATTACGGCAAAGAAGCGTAGCGAACGAGGCTATATACGATCCGCTCGATGCCCGATTGCCCGTGACGTCCCACAGAGGTAGACGCTATATGGCGGAGAAAATATTTCGTAAATCGCGCGGCCAACTTCACTCGCCAGGAGCAACCGTCGCGAGCACGGTCGGCCCAGTTAAAAACGCTATTTTTCTAAAATAAATTTCTGTTTGTTTTAGCAAGAAGATGGCATCAGAGAGCCGGGCGTAATCGGGACACAAGAGGAAGGGAAAGAGGAGAGATGAAGATGTATACGCAAACCGTTTATACTTTTCGCATTTTGAACAACAAATATAATGTCGAGATTATTTTTACGTATTGCGTATATGTATAAGCGACGTAGAGGAATAAATGTATGAATTAACGTCAAAGAGAAACATCCGCGGTACATGCCAACCAAAAATAATACAATCGTTGCTTTACTGCGATTGTAAGGCAATTTTGGTTATAACTGCAATTAAATCATCGATTTATTACGTCTATCCCTCATGATCGCCAAATATCGAAACACGATTAAATACGAAGTTAAACATGATATTATAAAGTAGTTTTGATTTCTTTTATCTCCATTTAAAATCTATTCGACCTTTGCCTGATTACAGAATTTTTGGAATTACTGAATTACGCGATTGTGATACTAGTTCACGGTTTTATAGTATAACAAACCATTGCATATATATCCATTTCCTTTGTTGAGACTCGGAAAATAGAACTGCCGGAAAGAGTTAACTTCTCTTTCTCCGTCAGCAGTTATATTCGTATTACGAATTTCGTTGCCAATTGTCCGAGAGAGAAATCGTGTGAAAAACACCGATATACCAGAGACAGAGAGAGAGAGCTAGAAAGAGAGAAAAGCATCAGAATGATCATCATTGAAATAATTAGCGGTGCGGCTAATCAACTAAAGTCTCTTTCTAAATTTATATATTCCGCGGCCTCAGACGCGAAAGGATCTCGGCGATCTCGCCAACGTGATTAATTCAGAACGAGTGCAAGTGACCTTTCGCACGGGAACGCGAGTACCTGTCACAGATTTCACCAATACGGAAATAACATTTGGATCATAACCTGCATCTCTCGCGTGCATTTTTTCCCTGCTTAAAATATATGGCACAAGCGTGAAGTTTCGCATTTCGAGGAGAAATAAGAAAGACAGAGAGAGAGAGAGAAATGAGACGAGCGTTCGCGGCATTCACGGGTTGAGAAAAACAAATCTATTAACCCTTCGCCCGTAAACTGGGTCATAAATGGCACAAGCCGAAATTCAAGATAGAATACCGCCGAAATGAAAAGGGGGGGGGGGCTTGCCGTCCTTCGTAAAAAAAGTAGGTAGTGGGGAGAACTCATGCCCAAAGTTTCGTTGGAATTCGCCAATGTGTGCTTGACCAGCAGCGAGTCAAAGTGCGTCCAGTGCCACTATTGACCCAGTTTACGGACAGTGCCAGACTTTCGTGCAAGTAAGTAAAATTAATTTAACGTCATTTTCATATTACTACAGTTATTTTTAACTTATATAAGTGATATTTTTTTATGATTGTGTATATTATATATACCTATAACCTCAAAATTTGAGTGGATGAAAACACGTGTAAAAAGAAATTACATGTACTTTCAGGGTACAATGGATGATCAAGCGACAAATATCAGATATTATTTACGAGAAAGACGATTTTATATGATTTTTTAATAAAATGTAAAAATTACGTTAAAAGTCTTATTTCTCCTTAACCCGAAAAAGGCCATTTTCAATCCTCAGAATAATTATACTTTTTAAAAATGACCCATATACAGAATTTTTTTCTTGAAAGTACACATATTTAACTATAAAACCTCGTTGGAATTTTTTATTTTGATTTAAAACTCAATGAGATATGATTTTTTTAATAAAAATGGATTTTTATCAATTTTTTGCATAAAGAATTATTTATAAACAATTTATCTTATAATGAATCGCTAAATAAACTTTGGGATTATAAAATAGGATAGTATACAAGTATTACAGAATTTTTTCAGATTTTTTGAACACTATTTACTAGGTCAAAATAACGACAGGACATTTATGACCCAGATTACGGACGATGCCAGTCAAATTATAGTTTACGGGCGAAGGGTTAATAGATTTGTTCCTCGCGATCATCATATACCGTACTAGATTTTTCGCATTAAAAGTGACTTCGATGAATTATAATAAACTTCGATTAACTTATCAAACGATATACCTGTGTACCATTTTTGTTAATATGAATAAAATTAATAATCTTTTGTCGCTTAAACGTAGAAAAAGAAATTATATAGTTAGAAATATTACTTTGAGCAATTCTGACGGTTGAATTAATCGCCGATCAGTCAATAATCCAAGTCGCGGTTAAAACGAAACGGTTACACACCGGCCGTTTAGACATTAGAAAAGAGAAAGAAGAAGAACGAGTGGTATAAAAAGTTGAGCTGTGAGGACTGAGGAGCAGGCCTATTTGCCGCGGTGACCAATGACGGCGCGAGGCGCGAGGCCTTTCGCGACAACTTTCGACTCGTCCGCATAATGGCGTAATGTTGGCAGCGCCGGGTAACCTCGTTTCCGCGTGTCTAGCGCCTATTGTGACAGCTGTCATAGAGGAAGAGTTAATGCTGGTTCGCCGTGTTCGTGCCAGTCGCGCGTAAACAACCTTTTCGCAACGACCAGCCACGACCGTCCCGCGAAGCAGCCTCGACTTTGCGCCTCGTCTCGACCCGCGACCGAAATAGTTTTCATTCTCGGCGTCTCGAACGACAACACACACGGTGAAGGATGACAATGGGCGATGAGACCCCGGTTACATCACTGGTTCTTCCCGTCATATTAAGGCCAATATTAACCAAGGTATCGTCTGAATACATCCTTCAGGACACCCAATCGTGTCGTTTTCATAAATAATATTTCCATCCGTTTCACGTCTCTTATTGATAGTGAATAGTCATCTTTTAAATATAGAACAATGGATGGACGTGAAAGAAAGTTATTTGAGTTATTATACAACGAGTTACACGTTGTCAATACATTGGGCTTTGCATCTTTCAATGAAGGGCCTTTTGTCAAAAATGTCGGATAGCCATAGATATAAATAGTTAAATTTTTGCAGTTGGAGAGGCAAAATGTCATGGCAGCGCAGACCCTACGCGCGGCTCTCTCAAAAGCAGAGAGTTCGCATCCTGGGATTACGTACGACTTGATTATGGGCATAATACGCAGGGCAGAGCTGAATCTTGATATGAACGAGAGTGTCTTACGATTGCAAGGCGCTGCTTCTGATTACGACGGTAAGATATCTTTGTAGAAATTATCTTGCGTTTGATATTAAAGCCAACCATCGTAACAGTCTACTGTGCATTTGACTTTGTTTACTATAAGATTTAAGATAAGCCAATACACATTTTGTCTTTGCTCGCAGTTGTGGAGTATCGTTCGGCACGTTCAGAAGACGCATTTCAAGAACTGAATCGTAAATCGACTTCCTTGAAAAGAATACTAAGCAGAATTCCCGATGAGATCACAGACAGAAAGACTTTTCTAGAGACAATCAAGTTTGTAAAAATTCATATCTACAATCTTATATATACAGAGGGTGCTCCACATCTCGATCAACTGTCTACTTTTTTTTTCAGAGAAATTGCAAGTGCAATAAAGAAACTATTAGACGCTGTGAACGAAGTTACTGCATTTATACCCGGTTCAACTGGTAAACAAGCCTTAGATCAACGCAAGAGAGAATTTGTGAAATATAGTAAAAGGTTCAGCAATACATTAAAGGAGTACTTCAAGGAAGGACAGTAAGTACATAAATTATCAGAATATCCAATCGCAAACGAAACCAATAACGCACAACTAGAAATTAAAAATACATATATTATATTTGTCACAATATAATGAAATATATACTTGTTGCAGAGCAAACGCAGTATTTGTGAGCGCATTGTACCTGATACATCAAACAAATATGATTATGCTCACAGTAAAGGACAAATGTGAGTAAATAATTTTACAATGAATTTCCAGTGTTGTATGTGATAATATCACGAGAGTCAGATAAACCATAAATATTATTACAATCTGTATAACATCCTAATCACACATATATTCTATTATACGAGCAATGATAGAACCTAAATATCCGGTATAGAGGATTTAACATTATTATGTTGCCGTTAATCGGTTGCACTATAGTTTTTGTTATAGATATATATAGATATATAAAATAATAAAGATGTTGGGGTATATTATTCCACAAATTATATATTTATACTTTTATTTTGTGCCAACTCAAACGTTATATTAATCGTCAATTCTTATTATAATAGTCAATAATAGTATATACAAATGTTCAAATATGAAAACAATCTTATTGTTGTTATATGAGAATAATCTGTGGTGTGTATATATACATATATATACATATATATATCTTCTTTTATCTTCTCAGAACTCTAAAGAGTATAAGATATTAGTAAAACATACAATCTGGAAGGTAACATTGAAATTTTATATTATTCAGGCTTAATTATTACTTATAATAGTATTCAGGCTTAAAGTAAAAAATGCATTTTACTTTATCGGGGATGCTCTTCATTTAAACAATTTCTATAAACCATCTATTTATACTCTTTGGAATGAAATAAAGGTGAAAGATATGACGAGGGAAAATTACTCCTCCAAATGTACAAGAAATAAAAATTACTTTATTGATAACAAATGTACACAAATTTGTTGTATTTCCCATACGGAAAATTGCGAATGGCTTGCCTATCTACATCCTCATCGCATTAACAATGACGATGAATAACAGTAAGAATTAATGGTAATTATTATAATGAACGTGTTACTGTGAAATTTACAAAATTTCAAGCCCGTTTGCTGTCAGAGAATACACGGACGATGCAGCCGACACCGCTTACGTTAAATACCTTTTCATGCCAAAGTAACAAGTGACTACTGCTACCTTCTGTCGGGATTTCGAAACCTCGGTAAATATACTTCATTAGAACATCCACTAAGTCACGATCTAATTGTGCTAAGCAATCGTCCATTTGATTCGACTTTATACTTAGGAGCACCTTCTGTGTTAAATTTCTAGCACTGTCCTGCGAATAGAAAGACATTTTATATATTTGCGCATATGGAAATTTATATTTAGTAAAATACACGCGACCCTAGGTCTGTTCTGTTTAGCTGAACTTTTGCACAGTTCATCTTTTCTCTTCTTCCCTCCAACGTGAAAAGAAAAAGAGGAAAGGTAAACCACGCAAGAAATTCAGTTAAAAAGAACAGATCTATTATGCAAAATGACGTTAGGAGCATACTAGACTAGTCAAACTGCGCGCAAAGTCTTTTTCCATGAATCATACGTAAAAAACTCTGACATCTATATTCGAATTTACAAGAATATTCCTAGAACAATATATAACCCATAAGATAAACATAAAAGACTGGCAAATCGCGAAGTAATTTTCATTAATGAGATACATGCTCCATTGATTATGGACCTCGATGAAATGATAAATTCTTAATCCAAAAACCTAAATCCCACTTGCTTTAGAATAACGACTACTTTCTACAATTAATTCATACAATCGTCAGATCCATAACGTCACTCCGCATTTAGGAAATCGCTTCGCGATAGCGAGGACAAAAGGTGAATCACCATCATGCATTTTGAGGTTACCTTCACTTGCTGGTTCTTACACTCCAACGGTGCGGACTTTAATACCGATATTAACGCCTCCGCGTTCTTACCCGTGATAAATGGTGTTAAGGAAAATTGCACGACGAAATCACTGAAAAGCAAAGGATCTACGAAAAGCAAGAGTTTTGCAAAAGGATATTGGCTAAGAAGTGTCAAGATCTCGTTCTCGTCCGGGCCGGTGAGCGCACCTACACCGCCGTCCGCGTCCTCCTCTTTGAAATTGTTGTCGCTGTACTGGTCCACGTCGATCTTGCGGAACGCGGACGCCGAGGTGTCCTTCTTGCCGTCGTTCCTCGACATCTCGGCTGCGTGTTTGACGTTTCCTGCGCGTTCAGTTCACGCCCGGCTTATCGAACAGCGATAGAGTCTCGCCCACAGTACGTTCGGAAGCGGGTCGCGCGCATCGCGCCGCGCCATTTTGGCGCCGATCGACTCGTCCGCATGAGACTTTTTATTGTCCGTTTCTATCAACGCAAGTAATCTTGGTATCTTGGGCCGGTATTCATAAGTCGGATCTTATAATGTCTTAAGATGCTAATACGGCTCTGTGATTGGTTCATAACATCTTAAGATTGTACTTAAGACGGTCTTAAATATAAGATCTGACTATGAATATCGGTCTTGGTTTAACTTTCCCTCGTGAAAAAAATGTCTCAGAATGTACATTATACATATATACAAATTTTTAGACTTTCTCAGGATGTTCAAAATTTTTCAGATTTTTTATACAAATCGGAATGTTTTTCAGAAAAACTCAAACAAAATGAGAATAAAATATTTCAGATTTTTCCAGCCAACATATCTTCGTAGAAATTTGAATAAATATGAAAAAATAAGTGCGATTTATCAGATTTTAAATTGTCATGTATACGGATACTGAAATATTCTGAAAATTCTCATCCAATTATTTCTGAAAATATCTAAGAAATATATATTTTATCAGAATTTTTCACAAAAGTCTCAATTCTTACAAAATTTCTGAGAAAATAAAAATTTTTCCACCAAGATTATTTTTTATCTTTTTTAGTTTCAAAAGTTAGAAAAAGAAAATAAGTTAAACCGAGATTAAAGTTAAATCTGCACTGGTGAAAATGGGCATATGTATATATGTTAGAAAAAAATAAAAAGTAAGTTAAACCGAATTAAAATTAACCAGCACTGGTAGAAATGGGCATTAGATTTCCATATACCATTGTTGCATCCATTTTACGTCCGAACACCAATGATATGTCTTACCCAGATAGCACTAAACATTTCTATGAACGTTCTATGAAAAATCTTCAAGAATATTTCGAATATTATTCTATAAGTCTTATAGAATCGAGCTCGGCAAAAAATGCACTTTTCGGCCGATTTTCAGCTGGCTCCGCCTAACGCCTTCCCCTTACCTCGTCGTCCCGCGCACAGCCAACGAGTCGCTCGAGGCTCAGGAGCGTAAACATATGTGTTATTTACAATAGCTTTCCACGTCACCCCTGAGATACTATTGTTAACGCGTTTTTTTTTTAAGTGGTATCCTCTGTAGACCTAATCCATTGATGACTGAAGTGACTCTTTAACTAATTGAAGCAGAATTAAAGAAATAAACAAAAAATGAAGAAAGATCAACTTTTGAGATCTTTTATATAGG